TATTAGTAGCAGTGGTAGTGGTAGTGGTAGTGGTAGTAGTAGTAGTAGTAGTAGTAGTAAATTCCTCCTCCTTTTTTTGATATAGCAATCACAAGGCAGACTAGATCGGAAGGTTTTTGGTTTGAATACTGACTGAAGATTTTCGTGGTTTTCCTAAGTTGAGACAGTACTTCGACAAAGTCACGACCGTTTCCTTCCAAGCTCATTATTCATCTACAGCCCTACAACTCGACGCTCTTCAGTCTAGCTACTGAGTGTCGTTAAATAACTAAGAAAAAATAACGGCGATAAGGACATGACGTTTGCGTACATTTACCGGTCAAATATTAAGTACATACACAGTGTATTTCTATGAAAGGCCCAAAATTGTGAAGACATATTTCTTGTACTTCCCCAAGAGATAATTGTCGAAATGGACGCCCACTACACGGGGCTCATTTCCGTTGTTCCTCGCGATATCATCAAATGCGAGGAACCTATGTGAGTCGCCCAGACAGACCCTTTACACAAGTTTCTAACATAAAGAAGTCTGACTTATACATGCTCCAAGCACGAACCACAAAACTTCACAAGTGTCTTCCAGCCCTTTATTATCCCCTTATCTCATAATTCTGTCTTACAAAAAGAAAAACAATTAGCAGTCTAGCCAGGCCGGAGTAAAACGTGCAAGCATTTACGTTAATTATAATTTAGTTTCCATTATCTAAATCGCCCAGAAATCTATGCCTAAACACGCTCTCATTCTTCTCTACAGCCTACATTCATTGTCCTTCCATTATACATTATGTGCCTTACCGACACCTAACGTCGTCTCCCAAACTTCCACTTCGAGAACAACCAACTATAAACAAAAGATGAACAACTTAGAATTAAATTTTACGTCTCGCTGCCGAGATTTCGTCCCATTTCCTCCTTTGTACTCTGCCTGGCTGACTTCTTTTATCTTAAAACAACATTGTTCGGTTAATTAGCGATACTTAACGTTGTGTAACAACAGAGTGGGGAAGCAGAATTGTCGAGACAAAAAGAAGGACAAGAAGGTTTCCACAAGAGATATGAAATAAAGAAAGTCGTTAACATCTGAAGCGTACTTTTAGTGACACCAATGCTGGATATTTCTATGGAAATTCCTACGTAATGAAAGTTAATACGATTCTATAAAAGAGTAAAAGAGGTTCATAACGGAATCTCAAACGACTTCAACATTCTTTTTCCGTTTCAGGCAGGTTTCCATATACTACAGGTGCTGTCGTATTCTAGAAAAATACTACATAGTACTACATACATAATGCATTACATATTCAACGTCCAAATGACAAGCCACGAATTAGTACCAAGACATGCACTCTTACTGAACAGAAAGTTATTCATTTTCAGTGCTCTCTCTCTCCCTCCTCCTTTTTTGTCTGCAGCCCATTTACATGTTCTATACAAAGAATTTTCACTTGTGCCAGGAATGTTCCTTCTCAAGGGAAGGGGGCACGGCGAAAACCTACACGAATAAAAAGGCATATTTAAGTCTCCCGTTTATTTCCTGTATTTCTTCGTGGTTCTAAGCTACATAATTTCCAGGCATTGGACCGACATGTGTTTTCCGATAATCTATTAAGGGTTCCGCTGTAGGCGGATTTCACTGCGTTCTTCATTCTCACATGTTCTGTGAAATGCTGGCGCTACTGTCACAGCCTAAAATCGATATCTTATTATAACTATCAATTCCAAAGATATTTCGGTATCACGTAAGGAAAAATGCAGTCCATATGAACTTAAACAGCCACGTACTTCGTACTTGGAAATAAGAAAGCATTAATGAGATCTAAAAGTTTATGACGACGATATATTAGTACAAATATTGTGTTTTGGGCATTATCCATCGTCTTCTCCGGAGATAGGGACTAGGTATATCTATTGGGCATAACTGATTAGGGCTTACCTGAAGACGGAGATAGAATAATCAGGACGGTTTTTAGTAAAGACAACACGATGGATAATGTCCAAAAACATGATATTTGTAAGAAAACATTCTTTATTCAACGGTGGTATATCAGCTTCACAGGATGTGGAACACCGCATGCCGGAGAAAAATTTACGAAGTTTGAGTTCAGTAAACTGATTTACTATTTACTCTGTTTTGGTGAAACAGTTCCGTTTTTTAAAGAAAAAGATGGTAGGGGTAAAAGAAGGGAAAACAATATGTATACAATGAGAATAACAACAATGCATAAGAATGATTAATTTGCGGAGTGGAAGAAGGTGGTGGTGCGAAAATGCAACTACATTTCTGCAGACCCCTTGTACACGCCCTAACTGCAAATATATAAGGGGAAGATTACGCTTAAGATGTTTCTAGCATGGCTGCCTGAAACTTGCCTAAGCCTAAGACGAATGTTTATTCTTTGTACCGGTACTGCCACATGATAATGTAGGAACCTCGTGACCCCCAAAAAAACTGGAAATTAATGGCCTTGTGCACTTTAACAGAAGATAGATGTCTGACGAAAAATAAATATACGGTGGAGGTACATTTTATTGTACCTGCGGCTGTCATGATGTGGGGGAAAAAGGGAAGATAATTGAATTAAAAGCACATCAACCTGAATTGTAAAATCAATACAATGGCGGCTTGAAAGGTGAATAAACGGACATAATTACCGTACACATCTACTACGAAGAGATACACATCAGTACCAGCTACCCTCAAAGCACAGACTGACAGAGTTAACGTATAAAGGTGCAGTCTCTCTAGGCGTGGGTTCTCCATCCTTACCGATGATCGGATTTCTCGGATTTAGCAACTTCCAACTTTCCAACACTCTCAACATGTAACCGTCGGAACAATGAATAGAAAGAAGAAACTGATGAAGATGGAGAATAGAGAATGCGCGCGCATACCTGTGTGTGTGTAGGGGACCAAAAAGAGAACTCTCTTTGTGTATGCATCCTGTTGTGTGTCATATATGGTATCCTTAAGAGAGAATGAGATGGAGGAAAATGAGAAATAGATGATCAATAAAGATAAGTAAAAAATCAACCGAGGTGGGAGAGATGGAAGCAAAAGAAAATACGGTACAAGAGGAGGAGACAGAATTACTGCCCTGTTACTTCGGCTCAGTGCCTGAAGCGCTGAGAATAGTATCTCTACGGAAGAACATGTTTCTTGGTGCCGTATGTTTCAGTAGGGTTAGATATTTCTGCCATGACAGCTCACTCAGTAAGGTGACAGGCTACGAACTGGACAATCGGGATTCGATTTTCATTACAGACAGGAACTGTGCCTCTTCAGTGCCAAATCCAAGACCGTCCTTATCCACCGAGTGCAGTGGAATAAAGCAACCGGGGGACAGAGCACACCACTAGCTCACATCTAGTGTAGACGTTGAGATCGAGTGCAAATTTACATCCGCAATCTCCAACATCTAATAAAATTCCATGGTATTGAGTTTCGGTGCTGAAACGGCTCTGTCACCTGCTGAAAATGTGTAGCACTGGATGGACTGTTTCGTACGGTGAGGAATGGGGGAGGGGGAAGGTGGCAGTAGCCTGATTTTATACAAACTTTGTCCAACGCTCATAGTTAAGTACATGGGCAAGGAATGTGTGTACATCAGCAAGTATCGTATCTGAAACCACAGATTTCGATCAAATTCGGTACAAAAGGTATACAATGAAAGTTGGCAGGTGAACTTAATTTTGGTTTGCACCGGTACAGTGCATACACATTAAATAATGATGAAACTGAAATGTATTTGTTTTGTAAAATAAAGTTTTGTAGGAAGAACCTGCCTGTGGCTTGTAATAAAAAAAAATCAATCCAATATAACAGTTTTTATATAAGTGCACAAGTGGCAACAACCCAATCAGGCACTTACCATAATCTCTATCTGAGAAATCACAGTACTCTTACAGCTGGACACTGGAGGTATGTATACAGAATGTTTTGTTTCAATGAAATGTTACCTTACTTCTCCGGAAGCATGACAAAACAATATCGCTAAAACGTGTACCACATATGAGCAATATGTCAAGATTTGACTGGATACGAGTTATGTATGGCGATACATGTACAAAAACTGAATGTAGATTTCTAGGGCGTACTATACTAGGCTGATGAATTCATCTGGGGCACTCTTGGTTAAGAAATATGCTACAAGTAATATTCTGGCCCAATACAAGGATAACAAAATCGGAAATCGGTTCCCAAATGTATAAAATATTTGCTTTAAGTTTTGAACACACGATGAAGATTGCAATGGATCTGCACAGCTGATATTAGATGCTCAGACTACTGACACGATATTTCCTGTGTCCTTGTGTGTCCTATTGTGTTTAATTAAGAGAATTCAATATTTCCGGTAACACTATGGGCTGCAGTGCCATTACGTGAACCTAGAACAAATGAATGGTTCAGAGAGTGCCCATACACACATGTCCCAGTTTATTCTTATCACCCAAATAATCATCAAGTTTGTGACATTTGCGGAGACATTTGGAGAGAAACAAACTGAAAATGAGTTCGATACAAAAAAAATGTAGTACGAACAGTAATGAACATTTAGTAAACACGTTTAATAAAGCATTTTCAACAAGATAATGACACCTTCTTTAAAGCTAAGGAAACCATAAACATATACTGAAGGAAGGATATTCTCACAGGCCACAAAAAACAATCAGTGAGCCCACGTGCTGTAGATCTGGCGGTCCAGATCTACAACCTTCATTCTGAAATATTTTCAATATAGTGAACAGTTAACTATATGGGGGGAAAAAATGCTGACTGCATTGCATAACAAAGTTTTCCGAAAACGAAACTGCAGTAAATGAACAATAGCAGTGGGAATGTATATGCAAATCTGCAAATCATGTGTCTGGGAAATACAGTGTACTCTATTGAGGTACAGCTTCACACTCATACTAAGAAAGTATCAAAAGCCTGTAATATACGCATATGAGAAGCTGACAACTTCACAATACACATTTGCATCATTGTGATTACTACTCACCAATTTGGCAGCTTGGGCGGTGACAACGTCTGGATACTGGATCAGCGCTTGAAATGTGTCTGGAAAGAAACAAAAACATTAAAGTAAAATAACACACAATTTAATTTCACAGCTTACAGCATACAATCGGAAAACGTTGACGTTACTGTAAATTTAATTTATCATAAGACCTTCAGGCTGTACTCTGTTACCTGCTTATGTTGTACTTCACAAAACTTAAACTTTACATACCAAATTAAAGGAACTCATATCAACATTAATTTATTACATTCGCAGGCATAAATATGTGCTCACACAATTGAGGTTTAAATTATGTACATGTGGTTTCGGAGTAAAATATTTCCACCAATCCACGAATAATTATTATCTTCATTCTATCACTTATCTTTTCTTTTTCAACTAGTCCTGAAAACATTAACTTCTTAATGTTTGTTCACATGTGCATGTGTGAAGTGTACACAATATCTATCATCGGCTTATATTTCCATTAAAATTTGCACTGAAAAATTTAATTTCGCAAACTGTATCTATATTTAATATAAGTTTCTTTTGCATGTTCAACCTATTATGCCAAGAGTTCCAGAAAGATCATGTCAACATGAATAAATGAACTTGCTCTTTAAAAATGTCAACTACTTTCATATATAAAGTTAAGAAATTAATTTTCGGAAAAAAAAATGCATATATGGGCTGAACACTGCTATCTAAATGAGTGTGTGTGTGTATATATATATATATTAGTATTTCATCTAATATTAAGTCCTCTTTAATATATAAAGTAAATAATCTGAATTAAATGTGCAAAACTGTTTCTTATATTCTAATTCTTACATTTAATAAGTTTTAAAAAAATTAAAATTATATACGTAATACTTAAAAGTAAAAATCAAATCAATAACTCTAATTTATACACTTACTATTTTTGGTGAAGGTCACAATCTTTAGCACCTTCCCGTACCTGGTGAATATCTGCAATCAAAGGGAAAATTTTATTAGAGGCGCCAAGGATGAAAGGCGTAGTGCATGAATTGTACGCTCGTATTACAGCTTTTTTTTTAACTTTAAAGGAACGCGCGAGTAGACATAATGTACCTTCATTAAAGGGATGCAAGTATATGGAAACCCTAAGCCAATTACAACAAACCGTGCAAATTAGATAAGATAAAACAAATTTACGGGCAACAGTCGAAATGAAGCAGCAGCAGAACACAAAGTGTGCTGACAAAGGGCAGTGAATTGCGCAACAACGGCTTACACAACTGTTTGCACAAGTCGCTGGTTGTCCGACAGCGCGACCTCTCCCTCTGGTCTCCGGGGTACATAGGAAAACGAGGGAACACCTACACTGGATAGAACTGGCGTCAGAAATTTCCCTTGGGGGTTGCATGTAATACACGAGGTCGCATATTCAAAGCAACCTTGCAGAAATATTTGTACCCATTGTAATCAGACTTGGTAAACTGCAAGTGAATAGCTGCTTCCAGAACCTGCAAGACATGCGATGAGCACCCGTAACGACAAGAGTGGCAATGTGTTAATATTCATTCAATTATTTTTAAATCGTAAAAAAATTGGTTAAAATTCCTTAAATTAGCTTAAAATCGCTCAAATTTTCAATACTATTCTTTAAATTAACCTGAAATCGTTTATAAATTTGATAAAATTCCTTAAATAAAAGTGAAATCGCCAAAAATGTTGTCAAAATTTCTTACATTAGCACGAAATCGTGCAAGAAATGGTCTCAATTTCACTAATTAACTTGAAATCGTCAAAAAATTTGTGGTTAAAATTCCATAAATTAAGTTGTAATCGTTCAAAAATAGGTTAAAATTCCTTAATTCGCTTGATCTTCACTCAAATATTGTTTAAAATTCCATAAATTAACATGAAATCGTCAAACGGAACAGAAAGTTGTGTTCGAAATGCGCCTTTCTTTGCGATTTTGCACACGCCGTCTGCTTCAAAGCTGCATGGGAGGCAAGGGTGGCAAATATTAACGGACAGGATTATTCCAAATATTCTTGCATTCGCAAACTTAATGCAAATCGTGTGGTTGTTTGAAATATAAATAGGCATCTTACAAATCACGTTTATTTGTACCATCTTTAAGGGAGTCTCAGGTTAAAAACTCGGATGCTCCTCACATCAAGTCGGACCGATCTATAAAGCCGAAGTTTACTTTAAGTCTGCAACATCTAGCAAATTGTATTCTCGCCATTTGCGTGGCGGACCGGACAGCGTTTTAGAGCATTTTGAAGTGCCTCTCAAGCAACAATGTTTCTTCGAAAACGGCATACAAAGATCTCTTGCACGCAGCATTTGGAAGTCATGGTACAGCGATTCACGCTCAGCAGAATCTGAGACCAGCTATGCCGCCTTAAATTAACACTGTTTTCCTCAGGCAAGCAATGTTACCTTGTCATCTGACAAGGTTATGTAGCGTCATATAATGCGATACAGGAAATATAAATAAGGAAACAAAATGGCGCGGTCGCATGATACTGCGGTGTACTGTCTCTGAATTTACATGTAGGGACTGGGAAAAACCATAAAAGAACTCTCGACAGCAATCTCCTAGACGAGATTCGAATCCAGGGCTCCATAAATGTGAAAGTGCGCTAAACATTCCAAGGCGTTAAGCATAATATAGTCAAAACACCGCAATTATTAATTACAGTTCATTCTAAATTGTGAAGGAAGGAAATAAATGTTCATACTTACATTTCAACATGAATACGGTTAGATTATAATCTTCAATAATTATTGAAGTTATTTCGTAACTGGCCAATCTCTCGTGCTACAAAGTGTTAGACAAAACGGGGATCGATCCAAGCATGAACCTCACGCTGAAGCAGACTGTTCACAAAATACTGGATCCAAGAATAAATAACGCGATGTGAAAACTCCGAATTCGGGCAACATTTCGATCCTAGTAAGTAGCAATTTAAGAGGTGTGAAAAATATAAGCATATATCCTGTACAAAGAAATAAATTATTTCCCTCTAGTTCTGTAACTTATTTCCAAAATTGATGTATATTTCTGCAGAAACTTATTCTTAACATGTTTCAGTAAATTTGAAGCTGTATCAAAATATTCGGGATTGAAAGGTGTCAGTAAATAGCGTAATTACGTCCTAAACAATGGAATAAAAATATTTTTGCCTGTGGTTCTGTACGGGTGTGAAACTTGGTCTGTGACATTAAGGGAGGAACATAGACTGAGGGTGTTTGAGAACACGGTGTTGAGGAGAATATTTGGACCGAAGAGAGATGAAGTGACAGGAGGTTGGAGAAAACTGCATAATGAGGAGCTTCATAATTAGTACTCTTCTCCAAGCATTATTAGAATGATCAAGCCAAGGAGGATGAGGTGGGCACGGCACGTAGCACGAATGAGGGGGGGCGAGGAATACGTATAGAATATTGGTGGGAAAGCCTGAAGAAAACAGACCACAGGGAAGACCTAGGCGCAGGTGGGTGGACAATATTAAAATGGATCTTTAGAGAGATAGGATGGGATGGTATGAATTGGATTGATCTGGCTCAGGACAGGGACCAGTGGAGGGTTCTTGTGAACACGGTAATTAACCTTCGGGATCCATAAAATGCTGGGAAATTCTTGAGTAGCTGCAGAATTGGCGGCTCCTACAGAAGGCCTCAGCTCCATGAGTAAGTAAGTAAGTAATGACCTAAGTTTAATTTCTGAGAGCCACAGCTGAGACGACGTCTTCTAACTGCGGAACCAAGGATTCAATCCGGGACGACTTCAATTAAGGTTCTAGTATTACAGTAGGCTCTTCCTCGAGATTCCTCAGTCCATCACTATTCTACCATTCCTACTGCCCACGGAGGTGTGACTCTCCCGCCAGACCCCATTATCACATCCTCCGTCTTTTAGTTTGGGGCCTCATTATTGTTACAGAGTAAGGACGCAGGTTTGTACAATGCACAACAGAAGTGTCAATGTCGTACATAAACCTCTCTTCCTTCCTCAAGCCAAAAGGTCAAATTGCAAAGCCAATCTGAAAGCAGCGGCCGGATCGTTCTGCTGTAATGTATTCTTAATGAGAAACAGACTACAGGCGTTTATCACGTTAAGTCTTGTATTCCTCTCCGGAGAAGAGACCTTCTTTAGCGCCATATGTAAACAAACAGCCCGACCCGTTAATGAGGTAAGGAATGGCCGCCCTGCACTAGAAAATCAACCATTAATCTTAACTAAAACAGCGCAAGATGTACCTACGGGGAGAAAAAGACAAAAAGAGAAACTAGAGGTAAGATTTGAGGTTTTCACGGCGGTGACTATGAAGAAAGCAGTCTTCTGGGATGTGGCAACGTGTAGATGTGGAGTTAACCAACGTTTCAGAGGAATGTATCGCCTCCTTCTTCAGGGTAGAAGGAAAAATAATAAAATCCCTGTTTGTGCCGGTTCTCACGGTCTCTTCGCTTGCAGACTTTATTTTTCCTTCCACCCTGAAGATGGAGGCGATACGTTCCTCAGAAACGTCGGTTAACACCACATCTACACGGTGCCACATCCCAGAAGACTGCTTTCTTCAGAAACTAGAGGGTTCGCAAGTTCGCATGCAGCCCGCAGCGACTTCGATCTTCCCCGAGCACGTCGCCCTATCATACCCAAATAATATGAACAACGCTAAAGGAAAGAAGACACCCCCCGAAATCACCCACGAGTCTTACATAAAAAAAAATGCCCGTATGTACATGTAATTGCCAGTATACCTCTGTATGTATGGAGCCAGGACATCGCAGTCGGTATAGCGACTGACTACTGGCTGGACGACCGAAGCGTCGGAGTTCGAGTCCCGGTATGGTTAAGAATTTTCTCTTCTCCATGTCGTCTAGACCGGCTCTGGGGTCCACCTAATTTCATATCCAAAATGAGCACCGGGGGCCTTTTCCGCGGAGGTAAAGCGGCCGGGGCGTGAAACGTCTCACCTCCAACAACTGCCGAGGTCAAGTAAACGTGGGTCTATACATCCACCCCCCCCCCCACCTTCACTAGCTTTTAGAATACCAGATGACGGATAAGGTCCAAAATCCCAGTAATCCTGAATATTTAAAATGCAGAGCCACATAACCGCAGTTTCAGCAAGTCAGTAAGTTTCAATATAGGTACTTTCACAAGACGAGCCAAACACTTTTAGGGCATTTTCGTGACTGTACAGAACCTTTTATAAGATACTGTTGGTGCTGCACCAGTGTAAAGAACTGCACTCTTCGGCTGACCGGCTGAGATTAGGGGAGCGATCCGTGTAAATTTACACATTATTTTAACGTGTGAAGGTATCACAAAATTTGGAAACCCTTGAGTTAAAAATTATCTAAAATAAGTTGTACATCTTTCGCCGATCTATCGCAACATAAAAGGTTATCCTTCAATTACAAAATTACAAAATCCGCGTTGCCTAGCGACCAGCGCGCTCGGATTCGGCTCGCTTCGGCTCCGCTCGGCACGTCACCGCGGGGTGAGTGGCGGGGTGATGACTCGCCTATTACGAGAGCGCTACGTTACCTCCACGTGCCGCTGGGGAGGTAGGGGTCCTCCGTTGCGCAACATGTCACAATATTGTGTACATATACATAACCGTTAACGAGTAATGCTGTTAGTGAAAACCACTAGATATTTCGACGTCACCAGTAGATGGCACATTATTACAAGCGTCAATACTGAACTGTCATAGCATCACTTTCGTGGGTCAACACATCCACTCCCCCATACGTCTTCATGGCGTACTGCTTCAATACTTAAGCACAGGGACATATTTACCTTTACCATAGCATCTCTTTTAGCTTAATTGGCTACTCTACTGAAAATGTGGACCCAGTTTTCAACAGATTTATATTCTGTTATATATTCTGAAGTTTTCATCATATACAATACTTCCACATAAAACTGCTTGAAAGTTAAATTCACAAAACGGTTGATAATATATTGTGAATACATGTAC